CTTGTTTTCCTCTTCTTTTTCAGCCAAAAAGATGAAAGGTAAATCCACTGTTGGTCTTAATGTTTTTACCATAGGATTACTCTGTGTATGTGTGTGTGTGTGGTTTCCTCTACAAGAACACAATCTAATTCATATGAACATCCTAATTCTGAATTTTTCTAGGATCTGAACCTGACTGTACCTCCTCTAGCCAGCCAAAACAGAGGTTGAGGTAGACCATTACCTCACATGTGAAGTTTATTCTGGGTAAAGCTCATACTCTTACAGAACATTTGAACCTTTGTAAATAGTCCAACTCGTAAATAGTGAGTGTAAAATGGAAAATAAATGTAATTTAAACCTTTTGTTACTCAATACACAAATGGTTAACTTCTACTTTTTTAACACAAATTGTGTAAAATGCTGCTATGAATTTTTTTGTGCTGTTACACTTTTTTAGGAAAAAAAATGTTGTTGCCACAAGTTACTCCTTAGAAAACCGATCTTGTGCCATATGTAAATGCAGTGAAACCAAGGAGACAGATGATCTGATCTCTTAATGCAGCTCTCTTTGAAGAGGCATAAATACTACTGACAAAAGGCATGAGCCACAAAGCTGAAGCCTTCTGAAATGTCATATAGGGTGCAGCTTTCCATCCCTGTAGCTCCGATTCCAGGTCACTTCTAGCACTGAGAACACACAGCTCTCTTCAGGTGCACCTAAGGGTCTAAGTATTGCCAACAGCTTATCCACCCTCTTGGGTATGAGGTGGGGCTGGGGAAGGAGCGCTGACATTTCAGTAGTGCACACAAGCACATGGGCGTCTTACACATTCAGACTGCGGCACCGTGTGCTCAGCTCACTTCTTTAAAGGAAATGGTTGATCAAAAGCACTGGTTTTGCCAGGTGAAAAAGAAGGGGGAGTTGAGCATCCTGAAGAACATCTAATTGTTGTTAAAATCATGCCCCCAGTGTGTAAGTGTACCTCTGGCTCTGAAGCTGCCTTTAAAAGAGTGAATCATTTAGCTCCCTTTTTTTTGATCACTTTGCTCACTTTTTTGTTCAGTAGTCATTTTAACACTTTAAATTGAGCAAACTTGTACAGGCTTTATTGTAACAAGATTATACAGAATCTGTGAAAGCTAAAACAAGAATCCAGAGTTTGAGTTCTTTATAAAATGCTTCTGTCTCCATTTCAGATTCTTGGAATGAAACCAATCCAAGCTTGTATGAGATTTAGTGGTAATGCATGATCTTATTTTGTAACTCTTGAATTATGTATTTGATAATAATGTAAAAATGTACAGTATTGCTGTTGCTAACAAACTGAGTTGATTGCCTATAAATATTTTGGTTATTTTTTGGTCACACACATTTGAGCTGTTCAGTAGTGCCAGACATCTTTCTTTGTTAACAGCATTTGTTGTATAAATCTCTTCAGTCTCTATGCAACCTTCAGAATGAAGCTCTATTGCTTAGTTTGACTTCTACTCCCTTTCAAAGAGAAACAGTTTGTGAATTGAAAAGGTAAATTGAAAACACTTCAGTCATGCTACAGGGAACAACTGTAGTAACCAGGCAGTGATACAGCTTCAGCCCTAATGGAATCTTGACGCTGAACTTCAACCAAAAGGGTCTATGTAAGAATCAGCAGAGGAAGTCTAAAGTTAGTTATTTCTGCTGCCTACCAATTTAAATGTAGCAGCATTTTGGTTTTACGTGCATCTCTATTCAAATGGGCCAAACCTATTTCATACAGAACAGATTTGGGACTTTTCTCTTGACAGAAATCATGTACAGTGTGTCCAGATTTGGCTCTCCCCAAGAGAAAGGGAAGAGATGGGTCATGAACTGCAGTTCTCAAGAAGCCTGGTCTGCCCTGCTGCTTTTCCTGGCTGTGACGTTTTGAGACTATCAGGAGTTAGATTATGGTGGTATCAAACAGAAAGAGCCTTAACGTTTAACATTGTGTGGAGCCAGAACCGAGTGAAACAGAGGCGGCTTTAACCACCTCAGGAGATGCTGAGGTATTGCAGAGAGGCTGTTAAAGTGCAAAATCTTATTTTGGTGCTTACTGCACCCCTGACTTAGCCTAGCATTGGTCTGTTAACAGTGTGCTGTGAAAACCCCCGAGGACAACACTTGTTTGACTTACCAACATGGTTTGTGAAGCGAGGAGGGGAGGGAAGGGAAGGGGTGGGGGGAGGGTGGGGGCAAACTGAGTTGTAAACATTTTGACCTGCTTGCATGGATTTTCTTTAAAGATTGATGTAAGAATTTTGACTTTTTATATTTGAGAAATACCAGAATAAAATCTAAATTAGTCCTGTGGATTATGTGGTTATTCCATTGCAACCCCATCAAAAATCAGTTTCATGTTTCCTATGGCTTGCATTATTCTGTCACCTTTTCTTCACCTAGTGCTATGGAAGATCCCTCTGAAGAGCTAATACTATGTAACTGCTGAGGTTTCTAACTACTTTGTTACTACCTTCGTACCTGCCAGTTGCAGTACAGGGATTTAATCTCTGCACAGCAGCAGTAAGCAATTGCCTCAGATCAGACCCAAGGTCCATCCAGCTCCTGTCTCGTTTCCAGCAGTGCCAGGAGGAACTGGTAACAACAGGACAGTATTTGCCTCAAGTGCTCCCTCTGTCTGTCACCCATTTGTGGTTCAGAACAATTTAAGCCATTGTTTGATCGTGCTGTTATGGGAAGGGATTTCTCTTCCTTGAACTTGGTACCACACAGCTCCTCTCTGAACACTTGGATCTTACCAATGCTCATCCCAGCTTGGAGAGTGCTGCTGCTGCAGATCCACCTCCTTGTGCCTTACTGTTTGAACCTGGTTCCTTCTGCATTACTTTGCCAGTGAGCAGTTACTCTGTTCCCCCTCCCAGAACAACTTCTGACAAGTGAACAGTTACCACAGCTCCTCCTCCCCGTTTAAAGAGTTTTACTGTTGTGTCTGGCACCTATCAATCAGACAATCTGCCATGATTATATGAAGTTGAAGCACAAAAGCAGGGGTTGAGTGTGTGTCTAAACCACAACACACAGAGGGAAAGACATGATCAACTTTTCCAAGAGTCAGAAGACCTCACAAAGCTTGAATGCATCTGTTTTTTCTTTTAAGCTTACCCCTTGCTTTCAACACTCTTCTGGCCTCAGTACTGCGGTGGCATTGAGCTAGGCACTGTACACTCACAGCCCAAGCAATGAAGCCACATGCTCTGTGGCCACAGTGGGAGGACAATGCTCCACCTAAGGAATGGCATTGCCTGTTCACTTGGAAACTCAGCCCCTGCAGGCATGTCCCAGCTCACGGTGATCAGAGTGCAATGGACAAGGTACCACCCATAACATAATGCTCCCATAATTTTCTGTCCCTAAATCAGCAGGAAATGCTGTTCAAAGAGCCGGTTGCGGAAGGCTAGAGACCACAGACTGAGCCTGCTGTGTGATCAGCTGGCATTCACCTGATGGCCCACACTGAGCTTTCAACAGCTCTGAGTGGCAGTGCTGGTTTCCAACAGCTGTCCCTCATTCGTTCCCACCAATTCCAATGGACAGTGTGAAACAGCACACACAGCAATTACCTGCTACTGGCCAAAGACCATTCCTTTATCCACTTCCCCTGTGGCCTGGCACCTGTTACACCAACTGTAAGAAGGCCTTTGCTCTAAGGTATTTTCTGCTGCCACTCACCTGCTTAATGCCCCTAAATACTTCCTTCCTCCTTGTGTTCTGGGTACACCACCAGGACAACCTGTCCTTGAACAGGGCAGGCAAACACCCACAGCAACCAAAGAACACCATCACCTGTGTCTTACTCTTGGGAGATTAACGGATGCCAAGAACTGTTACTAGCCTGCCTTCAGTAACTCAGCATGGGGCAAAAGACCAGAGTCACCCTCCATATACTTACCAGTACTCATTCTAAGCCTTCAGTGTTACCTGTAGCAGTAGCAAGGAGCTGATGGGAAAACCACAGCAGCAGTACTTCTGAAGGCACAGCAGGTATTCAGGCCAAGGTGAGCACACCTGCTACAGCAAGCAACAACTGACCACCACGTGAAATCCTTCATACTTATAACTGACCTTGCAAGCATGTCTACAGAAACCAGGGACGTGTCAGCTTGGGTACCTGGCAGGCAGGGAGGTGGAGATTAGGCCTGAACCAAAAATGCTCCCTCATAGCAGTTCTGAAGATGAGCCCAGCATACACCTGAGCACCTGAAACACGATTTTGCAACAAGCACTTGTCAGAGATGAGTGCCCCTGTGAAGTAATTTATATTTCCCAATTTAATAATAATCACAGAATGGTGATTATGGTTCCACCACCATAATCCTCCAAAACAGAGCAATTTTCATCCCTAGTTTTCTGCCCTGCAGACAAAGAGAAAACTTGCTCACACCTTACCCATGTCAGCAAGTTACACCTAAGCCTTGAGTGGAGTTTGCAAAAGCAGACACCACAGATAATGCATTCACGCTGATTGACACCACTCTTCTAATGAACTTCAGTGCAATAATTAGATGTTTGCTTTAAAATCTTCCAGCAGACTTAGGAAATGCTGCAACACACAGTACAAAACTCATCATAGCAGACATGTAATTAACATTGTGCCATGCTCATAACATAACATCGTTTACCAAAGCTTAATACATCTGTTAATTTGACTGCACTAAAAATTATCTGAACTGTGCAGTTAAACAGGAAAGACTTGTACTAAAACAAGCAGATTCAAACACAGTCAGGCAAAAAAGAACAAAAAAGCATCTTCTGATCTTGCGTACCAGAGCAGCCCCCTCTGATGCTTTAGGACAGAGGAGTTGCTCTTTTCACTCCACCCAAGAGGCAAAAAAGCAAAGCCACAACAACTGGGAAGTGAGTTATAGGAGAAGTTCTCAATGTTCATCTTCCTTATTTTAATAGATGCCAAGAACTGTCAGGAAAATGTACTGCACACCGACAGCAGCCCACTGTAGTCAAATGAAGCTCAGTGTCTATGCAATGAATAATCACTCTTCCTTTTATTTCAGTGTCATATTACATTACAGTCAAGACATGTTATTGACAAAACCTACCAGACATTTCACTTTAAGTGTAACCCTCAGAAAAGAAAAAAAATCCCATCAAGGACTGTACACAGATTGAGATGTCACAGGTTTTGATGTTACTAGTTCGAGATGTCACAATGGCTGATGTTACTAGTCCATTCAGATGCTTCACAATAACTCAATGTGTGGAAATACACTTTCTTGAAAGCTACAGAAACAACATTTCCCTTGGTTTAGTCTAAAGTCATCTGAGATACAAACAACCTGTCCCATCAGATCCCAGTGACAACATGCCTCACATCCATGCCAGAACATGGCTACACATTAGGACACCACCACCGGATGGTTATGCAAAAATAAAGCTGTCCAAATCCTCCTCTCCATCTAAAAGAGAAGTATGGTAACTACTGCAGAAGTGTTCTGCATGTGAGGTTTCAGAGCCCATGTGCTAACCCTGGCCCAACAGCTACTCTCCAGCCTCCACCATATAACATGCAGTGTCACCGCTCTTGCTCAGGATGTCAGGACATTTGGCACACAGCACCAGTAATGCTGAAGGAAACCCATTTATTTTAAATTTACTGTAACTCTGTCCAGTGGAGAGGCATTAAAACCAGCTAAAACTAGTGCTCCCTAAAAGATGGCTGCATTTGCAAACCAGCTGTGAAGGTAGACGTAACACAAGTAACTGAGCTTCAGATAACGGCTGTGGAAATACACTTACTTAACTGAGGAAAAAGGTTAGATGTAACTGCCTTCAAAGAATTTAGCCAAAAAGCTTCCTCAGTGTAAGACAATGAAATTCCCAACTCTGCTTTATAGAGAGTTCTTAAATTGGGCTTAAAAGTTGAATACATATTAGTTTTTAATACATACAATCAACTTCAAAACAGTTCAAATATGTTGAAGAGACCCACAACAAACAGATTTTAGTTTTTAGGAAGCCCATTTAAAATTTCCTTCATTACAGCTATCACGTGAAAATACTCTAAAGGGTTTTAAATCACACATACTGGCTGCTGCTGCGTACTCAAGCAGTTCAATGAGCTACGTTATTCAGTCACTAGAAAGTGGAGGCAGAGGATGTTTTTCATTAATACATTAACTATAGTCCATTAAGGACTTAGCTTTAATTATAGCCTCTGATTAGCTGCCAGCTCTGGCTGAGTTTTAAGCCCTGAACACACAAATACCTAGCCATTTGCTAAGTGACCTTGGGTCTGGATTCATCCCACCTCATTTGAAGTTCAACTGCCCGACTGCCAGGCCAGGTCCTGTTTATTGAAAGCCATCTTTAAAGGGGGTGCTTAAGGGGTCTGACTGTCCTCTGGGGGTGCTGCTCCTCACTGAAGTAGAGGCAGAGCTAGGGAAAGCTGTACATGTAAAGTAAAGCATTAAAAAGTAGGTGAGGTGAATCCAGGGTGTAGACAGCTCACTCAGCTGCCTGCCATGAAAGCTGCCCATGTTAATAGCACACACAGGTTATATGCCCACTAAACCCAAACACATGCTCACTTGTAACAAGAGGAGAGGGTTAACAGTGCTTACCCACTCTGAAGAACAAATAAATTTATTACAAACCCTGAATGCAACTTTATCTTACATTCCACACACAGAAACTAGCTGTTTTAGAACAGTTTTTGTATAGCTCAGTCTGGTGTTCAAGCTGAATTGTGAACCAAGCTTCAACCATGTTACAAAGAACACTCTGAGGGACAACACCGGTTACTAACCACTGAAAGCGCTGTCTGTTGGAAAATGTAGTTTTAATAGATATTCTTCATCTTACAGAAGAGCACAATAAATACACCACATTCTATAGAAATTTCAGATGACACTGGAGCAAGAAGAGGTGAAAGAGGGAGAATACCAACAGACTACATAACCGTACCCCTTGAACTGCATGACAAAACACTCCCTATGCAAACACTACAAGCTGTCATTTATACACTTCAGGTTGGCCTTGCCAAAAGCTTTTAAGCATTTTTCCCCCCTTTTTTGTGAGGGAGAAGGTTTGGGGAAAGGAAAGAGAATATGGATATAAGAAATTAAGGGAAGCAGTAAGATGGATGAAGGCCAAGAAAAATGCTGGACTCTCAGACAAGACACATACACCAAAAACAAGGATGAGAAGGAAGTTTTCCATAACTTTCCTTCCCTCCAATAGGGAAGCTTTGCTACTATTTAAGCAGACTGGTTGCTCAAGCAAGTAGCTTAATAAGGCTTGTAGAGAAAACCAGTGGTATGAGGTGCTAGCTGGAAGTGGTTAAGCAAACATCAGTCACTACACAAGCTGGCCATAGTGTGATTCTACACGCTGATACTACATGTTAATAGAGGGCAGAATTCAAGAAGTTAGAAAACTGTGTAGCCTAAAGTCTGATGACAACCAGCAAAGAGAAGTTATGCAGATACTCACAATTAGCGCTGTCATCTGCTCTCAACCTCCTGCTTGATTATGGTTATTTCCATGAAAATGCATATCAACGCACTGCTATAATTATGGTTATAATGGTTACAGAGACTTGTTTCTAAAAGTCACTCCAAATTCAATTTCATATTAAATTGGCCAGGTAAGGTCAGCCACATAACACAAGCTAATAAAAATCAGCCAGCAAACAGAAGCAAAAAGGAAAAAAATCTTGGGAATTCTCTCTCTTCTCTGTTTAATCTGTCAGACTGGTGAAGACAAATCGTAGCTCTGGTTTCCATCTTTTCTTAAATACGATTGTCACATTAGAGAAATGAAAACACAGCAAAATAAACTGTACAACGGCCAAGTAGAATAACAAAAAATATTTTACTAAAACATAAGATTTACAGGAGATTTTCCAGACAAGCCATACAAAATGGTCACAAGCTTTTTCTTGGGGGGATTTTCTACACTTGACAGCAGAATCACAATATTATTAGTGAAGGTGATGGATGTTTAATGTTCCCGGTTTTTTTTTGTTCAAACAATGAAGCTTGTCCATCTACAGCGTCTAAGTTAGACTGGGCTAGAGGGTATATTCTAAAGTATAACTGGTTAGCTGCTTTTACCAATGCAATTAGCATCACCATAAAAAGGGAAGAGGAGCCCACAAAATTAAGACGAAAAGCCCTGCAGCTAACCCTGCCTACCTTCATTCACAGTGCTTATACTTAAACCATGATGGGAAAAATGATTAAAAGCAGAGATGTGCTGCTGCTTTCAAACAATTTCACAACAATCCAGATGATAACTTCTAGCCTCTGCTCATGCGGTACAACAGTGAATCAGGACAAGACACAGATTTGCTAATGTGCATTTAATCACCAAAGGACTGAAGATGTCTGGGCTTTTATTCTGTAATGTTTCTAAGACTGTGTCCATTAAATGCAAACAAAAAGGAAGAGGTCTTGGCAGAACAGGAGAAGTGATGCACACTTGATGTTCAAAGCGCATTTAAATATTATTCATGGCATATAGCCTAGTCCATGCTCTGGCTGTAAAGAAAAGGAAACACATTTAAGAAAATACGTATTTTTAGGGCTCTATTAGAGTAACTTTAAATACTGTTTTTGAAAGATAACTTTATGCCACTGTTGCAAGTATCCAAAATATATCAGTTCTGAGATTTAAGTGCAATTTTGAACTCCAGCAGCTGACAATTCCTCATATTACAGAAGTGGCCTGACTGCACTGGATCCAGAAGTGGAAAGGCATAATGTAGTAAATCTTTCAGTCCATAACAGCATGCAACAGAAGCAGGTATGGAAGAGATGTACTTTCTGAAACCAGATGCCTGTGCCTTAAGCTTTAGAGGAAAAGCAGTAGTGTATATTTTGTTTTACCACAACTCCAAATTAGACACGCCTGCAAGTTTAGCAACATGAACACTCAATGAAACAGATCAAGAGAGCTTTTCTTCTAGCAAGCATCACAGACTTGAAAACAGACCACTGTAGACACATTCAGGACAGCTGCACTATGATTGTATGCAGTAATTATTCCTGCAAGTTGTGAACATAAAACAAGAGGTTGGTATTTACATCCCCCAACCAATGAGTAATCAGCTACTTCCTAAAACTAGATTGAAAAAAGTGTAAGATACATCACCTGTTTCTATGGCTTGGGCTTCATTGGTCTTCCATTGCTCAGCTACATCATTTGCTAGTGGATCATCTGGATTGGGAGCGCTTAACAAAGCCTGGATTGATAGCAGGACTGTACGAATCTGCAAAGCTGGGGACCATTTATCTGAAGAGACATTTACAGCAGTGTGAAACATCATATTCACCACAGCCTACAGCAAAAGCAAGCTTTCCTCTCCCAGATTAAAGAATAAGCAAGGTATTCTTTTAACAAACAAAGTCTCTTTTCAGGGCCCATTTACAGGTTTCTGTACTTAATAAAATCAGAAGAAAACAAGCACTTACCTTTCAAAATATCTAAACATATTCTTCCCAGCTTGTCTACATTAGGATGATAAATTTTGGTCATGAAACGTACTTTAGGAGCTGCCATTGGATATTCTTCTGGAAGGAATAGTTCAAGTTTAAATGTCCCACCCTCAAAGGGGGAATCCTGTGGACCTGCAATGACCACATGGAAATAACGTGCGTTGCTTTCATCTGGCTCTGCTTTTATCCCAGGGACTGGCTCTGCCAGCAAGCGCTGGGTTTCCTAGAAGAAAAAGAAGAGGAGGCAATGTAACAAATACAACTGATTTAAAATAAATGCAACCTGTACAAACTATTTCAAAACAACGAGTATTCATTATGAGCTATTTGCCTACAGCCACAGAAGCAATGTTAGATAGACACCTTAAAGTCACAGAACATCTGCAGAAAGGTAAGAATGTGGTAAACTGCTATGCAACTTCTTTCAGACTCCTCACAGCATGCGCTTCTATAGCACAAGCTAGCAGGTAACAAAGTGTCCTCAAATTTCATAACTTTTGATTAACCTATTGCCAAGCTACTATTTGTTTTTAATATACCACAATGAAAATACCAAAGCATTTCCCATTTTAACTTAAAGAGAAAATCGCATTACGTGAGAAGTCAAAGAAGGGGTTAATCACAAAAAGTGTTCGAGGTTTACTCTAACAACAGTTTATTAAGATGAACATTTCTACTGGAATTAGATCCAGGCTTTGAGGAACTTAAAGTACTGCTCTGCTGCAACACTTAACGGTGTTTTTCAGGATGTGTTATATATTTACACATATGTATGCATAAATAGCCTTGGTGTGATCACCTTCAGCCTACATACAACTACTTTAAAAGTCACCCTAACATGCAGTAGGAGACAAGCAAGTTGCTCTGCCAGCCACAAGCTTCGGGAAGTCTGGTTTCCTACAGAGAACTGTCTTCTTTGTGCTCCTTTCTTTTGCCTACAGCACAAACCCTGCCTCAGACACCACACTATGACCACAGTTAAGAGCTGCCTACGTTCTGACCATCCATCCCACTAATGCACTGAGTGGACAGAGTGACCAGGTCCTGTGCACCTTCCCTCTCCTGTGCTGCCAGGTATTCTAGGCAACATTCTGCTTCTCCTTATAAAAAAGGAATGTGTGGCCAAAATGGGCAAGAGGACATTAGGCAGGGACAAGAAATCCTGCCGAAGCCTCATTTCCTCAGGTAATTTTAGCCCCATTTCCTGCCCTTCCTCTAGCTTGTTTTTACTACATACAGTTAATCTTCATCATCTCTGTGTTGGCTTTCACAATGAAAAATTATCCTAGTTCTACGGACAGAAAATGGTAACTGGTATGTATACTATTATTCTAGTTTTACCACATATTTATTTTGTGTCTATAAATAGCATTAACACAAAACCAAGTGGACTGATTACCTCTATTTGGCTTAATCCAGTCTTCAAACATAACAGGAGTGTTACAATACTGACACCTCGCAGAAATAAATTTACACAGCATTTAAGTGATACAGCTGTCTTAATGCAGTTAACATATCACTTTAGAAAAAAATAAAGTCACAGTAATTAATGCCAAAATCCAGTTATTTGTCTCAAAACCAAAGTCCTACAAATCATAATGCTAAAGTTATTACTATGTACACACACAAACATAAAAATACATTTATCTGGTCTAATTCCTTGTTATGACTACGTATTGCCCACTTATCTTCACAGGCATTAGCTGTCAATGCCACTTACACACCTTACTGGAAGGCCATCCAAGCTTCTTAGAGCTGTTTATGCTCACTTCAGAAAGCTTATTTTAAATGATACACAAATTTATAATATACTCAGAACTTCTACTTTGCTAGCTGTTTACCTGTACAGTAATTCTCTAGGAAAGCAGCTATAACGAATGCTTAAAGCTTTAGTTCAGTAGTGTGAAAGTAAAACTATAGATGATGCCTGTACGTGCATAAAACATCCTCTGTTTCTTCCAGCAAGTTTTCAGTGTGGGTGCTGCCACAGGTAAGTGTGACAATTCAGATTTCCACCTCTGGAGCACGTTGACAGTTTTGGCAGACAAAACAGTGTCTTACGGAAAAGAAAAACTATTACATCTAGCCAACTTCAAATTTAAAAAGAACAAACTTCATGAAAAGATCCAATTTTTAAACTTCTTCACAGCTGCTACCACTTGTACTTTGACAGATCCCCAGTTTGTCTACTTGTGTGGTTTTGGGCCTTATGGGCCTGCTCAGATTTAAAACTACTATTATTTTTAAATATTAAGGGTAACACATTTTAATAGCTGGGCTGATCTCAGCAGTCCCTAGCCTCCACTCAGTTACTCTGGTCTCCAGACTGCCTCTCTAGTTATACCAGTATGCATACAGTATGCTGACTGTAACCATAGTGGGCAGGCAATCCTGGCTTGAAATAACCTGGAATCAGCAGTTGTCTGGCAGCAGCATCAGCACTTCTACCTGCCAGCATAACTGACGGAGCAATGCCTGGCTGCAAGCTGCACATTCTGCCACTAATAACCACTTCCCAGTAAACAATGGGAGAGCCCACATATGAGAAAAATGATCCTTTTAATTGAGGTACTGCTTTACACCGAAGGGGCTATACCACTGCTAGTATGTCATCATGTTCACACAGCCCTTTACGCCTCTACATTATGTGGACACAGTAATCTTGCTATAAAACACCACAGAAAAGGGGGGAGCAAAGAAAAGCATTTCTGCTGCATACAGCTACACTAGTGCTGAGCCTGCTTCTAAAAGTCCCCTGTGGAACATCAATATTAGATTAAAAATGCTTTAAGCAATCATGCCTCACTTCCTGCACTGTGCATGGAGCTCTACCACTATCAGCGTAATTGAAGCTGTTTTCAAGCAGAGATGAGGAGAAATACTTGCAAGAAATCTGAGGTAACTGGTCAACTCTCATCTCTCATACCCACCAAGCTCTGATGAAGCCACCATGCCAAGAGAGCAAGCATCAGGCTAAACTTCCAACACTCACAAAATGACAGGTCGTGACTCCTGTGAACATACATCACTACTGTTTTACACAAAAGCTGAGAAGCACCTTAAGTTCAGAAAAGGCATCTTTTTAGAACACTGACAAGCTTGTTAGACTACAAAAAAAACCCACAAGAAAGATGCCATTTATTAAAAGAACACGAAATGTTTGTACTTATGAACACCACCTGCTAAATTCTGACAGCAAATAAGGCTTTTGCCCTTCAATTATGAAGATATTTATAATAATGTCTTCAGTACATTTTGGGGGGAAACAATGGAAAAGGAACAGGAAGGGTAAAATTAATCAAAAAGTTACATTTTAAGGTCTAAGCATGTAAAATGCTTAAACATACAAGTAAGTCCAGTTCTAAGGTAGTATCAGGAACTTGACTTTCACGTTTTACAGTAAGATGGCCAGTTAAAGACAATCAGTTTGATTTGTCATAAGACTTGGAGACGTAAGCCCTATTTGAGAGAAACAGTTGTCAGTATGCAGGGATAGGGCTGTCAGTAACATGGCCTTGTGGAAGGTGTCCCTGCCCACGGCAGGAGGTTGGAACTAGATGACCTTTAACATCCCTTCCAACCCAAACCAGTCTGCAATGATGATTTCTTAAGTGTACATTCACACACACATAAAAACACATCAAAAAAACACCCTGTAAAAGTCACCCACAAGATGTGGACTCAACCTACAAACAAGGAGAAGTTCAACTATATGTTGATCTTCTGCTGTAATTTTATATTACTTTCCCCAGTTTTTTAGCTGAGTAAGTTTTGTGCAAACTGTTACGTGCCCCTCTCCTCCCCAAAACTGCCTTTGAACCCTTTGTCCAACTTCAACTTTTCCGTATGTTTTGTAAGCTGTCAGTGGCTAAGACAGAAACCAAGCTCAGTGCCACTGAAGAGAAACACATGAAGAACTCTCATATTACATGTTGTTTGACCAAGTTTATTCCACCTAAGCATGTACTATTCCTGCCTGGCAACAAAACCCAAAAAAATTGCCAATAAAAAGAGCTGGGACACACAGATATTAACATGCTATAAAGGAAAAAGGACAGATTCACAGAAAAACAGGTTTTGAAGTTCTGCTGCTCACAGTAAATATTTTTACAATAGAGCAGTTAGTTTTGTCTTCATGGGAATACAAACTTCCATCAAATAAGTGTTCCAGAACAGCACTTTACAGTGTTTCTTGCTAGCTCTCCTCTAGCATACTCAAGGTTCACAGAAGAGATTTCAGGACATATTTTGAGCTCTAAAGCATTTAATGAAGTATCCCATGGTGCTGTAGTATCCCATGGTGCTGTAGGCAGTTAATTCTATCTGTCAGACTCTGCAGTGTTTTTAGATTGAGATCTCGTTCTTGCTTTTACTCACTTTTTCCATGATTTCCATCGACTAACGAAAATGAATAAACCCAAAATAACCCAAAAGATACAGTCAGTACTTAAAACCAAAACAACACAGTCATTCACAACTGGTTATGCCCCCTACAATTTATTTTTCTTATTTTTATTTAAGTGGTTAAAAAACACAGAAGTGTTGAAGGTGTTTTGACAAGCAAAGAAAGCTTTCCCTATTAACACAGGTGGCTCGAAGTAGAGTGACAGATGATATGGATGGGACAGATGGTGTAGCTGACATTCTGCATAGCTATGCTCTATAAAGACATTAAATTGAAAACTAATTGTACCTTGGGGGGTAGGGGAGAAACCCTCAACCTGCTTTTACAGTAACCTCTGAAGACAGGAAGGCTCAGGAAGAGAGAGTACCATGATCTTCAGAAGAGGCCAACAGAGCAGACAGTGGGAGTGAGGGTTTTTCAGGCTGCCAAGACTGAGGGAAGCTACACAAACACAAGAGAAGAATTTGCAGGAGGATATGTTTCATTCTTTAAGCTTTTGTTTGGTTATTCTGCTTTCAGTGGAAGGGAAAAAAAAGTTACTGAGAAGCAGACATAACCACCAAGATTCTCCTGGTCCATATACAGGACAGAGCTCTTCTTTAAGTGAGCTGAACAACCCAGAAGACGCTTCCACACAGACATGCATAAAAATCAGTTGCTAGCACACACAAAGATATGAACAAGCATAAAAATAATTAATCTATTAGAAACAATACTACTATTTTAACCACCTTCAATCTTGCAGAAGTGTTTCTGAAAGCCTGAAAAAAGATACTTCAGAAGTCTTCCTTGCTATCAACAGACTAAGACAGGATCAA